CTCTGCACGAAATAAGAATATCAGAATTATCATAGAAGAATAAAAAGGAGATCTCACAAATTAACCAACAATATAACACAGAAATTTAAAGTTAAAAAGATATTGTCACCTGAATGAATGACTAGCAAAATTTAAAAATTATGCGAATAAAATGTATAAACCAACGTGTTGATACCAAATCATAGTTAATACGTCCAAATCTAGGGTTCGTCGATACACAGGTAGCCCAACCCAAATCTTGTTTGCTTTGCTCTGAACCTTTTATACCAACTTGTGGGGGCTGCGGTCAATAGTTAAGACTGATGTATTATATCAAACCTTGGTGCATTATACTGGAGATTTCGATACCGTACTATTAAAATCTCACAAACCGTGATGACGATTTTAAGAGGCGCGGGTACTAAGCTTCAACGCGCGGTTTTTGGTTTGAAGTTCATCTTGTATGCATTTTTCACGAGTTTGCTAAAGGTCGCGGTTGCAAAACTTACGGCAATGTACAATAACGACTTTGGTGCACTTCAGCCTTATTCCAGTATCACCACCAGACAATGTCCCGTGACCGTTGTCATGTGGTTCTACGATCTAGTGATCCGTATCTTCAATGGCACAATCGTATGGCACAAAGACATAGGCCGCCCAACTAATACATTAGAGACAGAAAAGAACGAATGCGCACGCTTTTATTATGTATATGTATCGGCGCGCGCTCTTAGCAAAAATGCGGGTTACCTGTGGTATATTACGTCACTATCGCGCGCCTCGCGGGATACAAACTAGTCTGTGAATTTGAAAATCTTCACCTGATACACTTCAAAACTTCTCAGTTAAATGAGCTTTTTGACAATAAAAATATGTGTGAATTGTGTACACGTACATTCTATCCACAATAATAATCTTTTTTGACATAAAACTACTCGGATGTTTTAATTTATAAAACTATGCATTTTGAAAAGAGAGCCTTGATATTATTTGAATGTTCAGATTTTTACTCTTTATTCGACTTGTCGTACAAGGTACAACTCCTCGTACAAAGTACAGGCCATCCCTGTCGTACAGGTCACCACTAAGGTTTTGTGCTTTTCCAACATTTTCACGAGGTATTTGACCGTAAAGTTTTCCCTGTACCGGCTCTGCCACTTAGAAAAACATTGTGTCCAGACATAGCCAGGTCTACGGCTTTCCTTGGCTCAAAGTTTGGAGTAATTTCGCTCATGTTTTGTTTTGTTTTGTAAACTATACACAACCTAAAGGACGTCAAGAAATGTGATGTAAAAGCTACATACTTCGGGAATTACGAAAATACTCCGTGAAAGTCTCGATGGTTCACGATAGTTCTCGACAATCTCACGAGTTGGAAGTCCGCTCGGTTTCCGATGATGACGCAATAGTTTCAGATCTTATGCCCAGCTGCCTGG